CACCACCACCACCACCACCACCACCACGTGCAGTTAAACTCTTGTTGCTCTTCAAGTAAGTTCAGTTCCCAGTACCCATATCAGGAGCTCACAACACCTGTAACTCCAGTTCCAAAGGATGGAACAATCCTTTTTGTGGTCACCATGATCACCTAAACACACATGGTTATCACTATGTATGGCCTAGCTAGCCTGGAACTCTATGTAAACCAGGCTGGTCTTGGCAAACGCAGAGATCTGTCTGCTTCTGACTCCCAAGTGCTGGGATTAAAGGTGTCTACCACCACATCCAGTCAAAAATTACATTTAACAAGCACCCTATTTCATCTTCCCTAGAAAGACATATGTGAGCACCTTTGAAGGTGAGAAGGGTAAAAGGGATATGAGGGGAGTACTGGACGCTCTTACCTGCTGCTGTCCAGTATCCAAGCCCAAGGCTTTAACAAACCCCGAAGGATCAATGTATCGCCTGTTACTGTTTTGCAGCAAAGCAAACAAGTACTGTAGATGCTCACAAATTGTCTGAGGCTCATAATCTATTGAAAGAAAATGCAAATTTCACTTTAAAAAAAGGAAGAAAAAAAAGATCTACCTAACCCCAGCCAGACATGGTGGTACACATGCCCAGATTCTCTGCACTTGTGAGACAGGGCAAGAGTTCCAAGGCATCTGGGTCAGCCTACTAGAATGTAGATGCTGACATTTTTAATTAAAAAGGTCAGACGTGGTATTGCCCACCTTTATTTAATCCCAGCAATCCAGAGGCAAATGCTTCTCTATAGGTCTGAGGCCAGCCTGTTCTACACAGTGAGTTCCAGGGCAGCCAGGCAGGGCTGTACAGAGACCATTTCAAAACGCACGCACGCACGCCAGGATGATATGGAACTGGAGAGATGCTCAGGAGTTAAGAGCACTGGCTCCTCTTTTCTAGGACTGGGTTCAATTCCCAGCACCCATATGAAGGCTAACAACCACCTGTAACTCCAGTTCCAGTGAGTCCAATGTCCTCTACTATTGCCAAGCATGGTGCACAAACACACATGTAAAACAAAACATTCATATACACACACAAAATTAAGATATTTTCTTTTTATTTTATGTATGAGTGCTTTGGCTCATGTATGTATGTATGTATATACACTGCAATTGCTTGTTGCTTAAGAAGGCCAGAAGGCACATGACCCCTGGGAACTGGAGTTACAAATGGTTTTGTGCACCACTTGGGTACTTAAAACCTGAATGGTCCTAGCTGAGCCATCTCTCTAACTAAAACACATTTATTTCTAATGTTTTTTTTGGGGGGGTGGGGGGGAGGTAGAGTGGGAGGTATTTCTTTCATTTATCGATTTTTTTATCTGAAATTCTCTCATTTACTCTCTCATTCATTCTCTCTCCCTCTCCTCTCCTCTCTTCTTTCCTCCCTTCCCCCACCACTCCCCTCTCTCCTCCCTTCCCTTCATTCTCTCTTAAGACAGGGTTTCTCTGTGTAGTCTGGCTATCCTGGAACTTGCTTTTTATAGACCAGGCTGGCCTCGAACTCAGATCTGCCTGCCTCTGCTCCGGAGTGTGTGCCACGATCACCCTCAAATCTTTAGAAATAATAGTAATAATTTTTAAAAATGATTCACTTATTAGTTGATTATGTGTATATTCTGAATCCCGAGAGTATGTTTACAGCATTACACTTGGATGGAACCAGAAGCATGTTGCCTCCTTTGTAGTGGATTTATAAGAGATTTGGCTGGCAATACCCTCAGCAGGCAGCCCCTGCTCCCATCCCTACAGACCTTTTCCTCCACGGACACCATCTCCCATTGTGTAGTCACTACAGGTGCTTGGGCATAAGTACAGCGCCTGTCGAAGCTCTAGGTTGAGAAACCACACCTGGAGAAAGGTGTTGACATAGCAGGTGGCTCCCAGGTTAGTCAGGCCCACAAACGAATTCTACAGAAACACAAGAGTCATAGAGCAACATGAGGCTCCCCGAAACTCAACATTTATAAGGAGCATTATTCCTAAGTTTACGGACTCAACATTTTGAAGCCTGTCCCAGTTGGTTTGGCATGAATGATCATCTCAACCCCCTTAGCTGCAGGTGGGGCAGAACCTGGATGGGAGCCTTTTCTGATTGACCACCACTGCATTGCGGCTGACCAGAGAAGAGGCCTCAGACAGCAAGCTGTTCCTCTCCAGCACTACTGTCCTCTCCAGTCTCCTAAACCTACAATTACAACAGCTGCTCTGAAGCATGTGTGCTCAGGCTTTTCATTATATTTAGTACAAAGTCAAAATGAGATTTCTAGAAGAGCTGGGAGACAGAAAGGAAGGCCCCTTCTATTATATCAAAGATCTTGAACTTAAAACAAATATCCCTTTTAACTGGGAAAGTATCAATACAACAGCTCACTGATGCATGATGGGTTTGTTAGAAATATTAACGCATCTTTTTAAATGTGTGTTAATATATGTATGTGTGTGTGCGTATACAATTACAGAAGGCTGATGATTTGGAAAGCAGAGAAACCATCATGGCAACTTGCACCTCTCCTTTAAGGACATTCTAAGTCCTAAACAAAACATGCTCTCTGTTAAAGCAACACAGAATCAGAATGCAAACCAAGACCACTGTCTAAGGGTTTGCTGTACTGTGTGACTGCCTGTTTTTGTTTTGTTTTTCTCTGCAGTCTTGGCTGTCCTGGAACTCACTCTGTAGACCAGGCTGGCCTCACTCAGAGAGATTTGCCTGCCTCTACCTCCCAAGTGCTAGGATTAAAGGCATGAGCTACTACTGCCCCGCATGATTACCTGTTCTTAAAGCATTATGTTGGGGTCTGGGGATGTAGCTCAGTGCGGATGGCTTGCCTACCATGTGCTTGACCCTGGGTTTGATCCCCAGCACAAATAAATACTTTCATACAGTTATAATGTGGCAATTATGGCTTAACTAGCCTTTTCCAAATTAAAAAGGAAGAATTCAAACGCACAAGGCCATGAGTTCTCTAACATCTTCTTAGGTTACTGAAATAGTTGACAGTTTGTGGTGATTTCTTTCCACTTCTTTTTCAGAGCAGGGAGGAATTCTGGGGATTGGATGCAGCCCCTCCCCACTACTGTAGCACATACATGTCCACTCTAACAGGTTTCTAAACACAGGACCTCAACAACAATAAACAAGGCCTACCAGCCACAATTACTCACCTTCTTCCTCCTCTCACAGTTGGGATCGTCAATGTTATGAAAACTATTCTCATCTATTTCTCCTAACCAGATATGCTCACCAATCCCAACTAAGCAATTCGGATTTCCTCTGCAGTTTCTTCTACAAGGAGGGGAAAAAAAAGAATTACAGTTTAATTAAAAATATTCACAGGAAGTGAAAAGGAAGAGAATTGAGTTTTTATTCATTTATTCATTTATTTGTCTATCTTCCCCTCTGCCCCTCAACACCACCCCCAGCAAGACAGGGTTTTCTATGCAGCCCTGGCTGTCCTGGAACTCTGTACACTTGAGTCCTTGTGTTATTGAGATGGGGTTAATAGCTTCTCACCATAGCTACAGACAGGAACCCAGCACCCAACAGAAGCAGAACTTATTTCAGTTGGACAAGTACCCACAGTTGCGGGCAGGGATTATGCTAAACCACTTGAATACCATCCTTTTTTTTGCTTGCTTGCTTGCTTACATGTATGTCTGTGTCAGATGCCTTAGAACTAGAGTTACAGGCAAGTGTAAGATGCTACCATGTCGGTGCTTGGGAACTGAACCCAGGTCCTCTGGAAAAGCAGCCAATGTTCTTAACCACTGAGCCATCTCTTCAGACCTTTTTCTTTTTCTTTTTCGGAGACAGATCTCTCTACATAAATAGGTAGACCAGGCTGGCCTGGAATTCATAAGACTCCACTTTCCACTTGTCTCTGAATGCTAGGATTAAAAGCATGTGCCATCACACTGACTTCCTAACTGAATCTTATTCAAAAATCACAGCATTACACAGCACTTTTTATTTAAAAAAAAAAAAAACAAACCACTAAATGGGGCTGGAGATATGACTCAGCAGTTAAGATCACCGGCTGCTCTTCCAGGGGACTGGGGTTCAATTCCCAGCATCCACATTGCAGTTCACAACTGTCTGTAACTCCTGTTCCAGGGAATCCGACACCCTCACATAGACATGCATGCAGGCAAAATGCCAATGTACATAAAGCACAAATAAATTATTAAAAACAAACAAACAAAAACATTAAATGACCCAAAAAAGAAAAATTCTAGTCAGGTGTGGTGGCACATGCCTTTAATCCCAGCAGTCTGTGAATCTGAGACCAGTCTGGTCTACATAAGTGAGCTCTAGGACAGCCAGAGGGTATACAGGTGAGACCTTGTCTCAAAAACAAAAGCTCCAAGTTCTATTAAAAAAAAATTAACTGAGGTATACAACAATCAACTCACAAACCCTGGAAGAGTTGTTTCAGTGCTGTTAACAGCCCCCATACTTACCCCATCCAACAGAACACATAGGATGCACCACATTCTGCATTAAATTCAAACAAGTTGAAACGAGAAGTGACATTAAGTTGGAGAGATGGCTCAGTGGTTAACAGCACTGGCTGTTGACCTGGGTTCAATTCCCAGCACCCACAACTGTCTGTAATTCCTGTTCTAATGGATCTGACACTCAGACAGACATGTAAGCAAAACAGCAATGCACATTTCGTGTTCCTGAATTCTTAGAAAATAGTGTTCAAAACAGCTCAGTCAAGAAAAGTATCCTAAAGGTGGGCAGCGAGTAACAACACCTCAGATAAGGAGACTAGCAGTTAATTCATAAGACTGCTGCTGAAACTCATCGATCACTCCCATTTGGGAACCTGCTCAGCTAGGACAAACCAGCACCACTTTGTAGTACTTGCACTTATCACTTTAAGAACTTTTAGTCTTTCCTAAGGAACTGATGTTTAAGTTAACAATGGCAATCAAAGACTGGTGTGTTGGCTGGCACACTTGCAATCCCAGCCTTGAGCAGCTGAAGGGGTTTCCAAGAGCTCATGAGACCAGACTGGGGTTCAATGCCAGTGCATTTTGGAAGAAGTGAGACTGTATGTAAACCTAAGCCTATGTACAAGCAGAAGAGCACACACAAGCCTTAAAAACACAATTACTTTTTGTTTTTGTTTTGTTTTTGTTTTTTGAGTCAGTCTCTATACTGATACTCACTTTACCAAGATGGACCATGGTTTTAGCCTCCCAAATACAGACATAACAGGCATGTAACACCATGCCCACCTCAAACAGAACTCTTTGGTTAATTTCATTTCTTGCAAAGCAAAGGGGGCTGGGCATGGTGGCACATGCCTTTCTTTTCTTTTCCTTTTTTGTTTTTGTTTTCTAGACAGGTTCTCTGTGTAGTCCTGGCTATCCTGGAACTTGCTCTGTAGACCAGGCTGGCCTCAAGATCAGAGGTCCACCTGCTTCTTCCTCCCGGGTACTAAGATTAAAGGTTTGCATGCCACCACTGCCTGGCTTGATTTTTTAATTTTGTGTGTGCATGCTATGAAGAGGACCATTTGCAAGGTCTGTTCCCTCCCTCTACCATAATGTGGATCTCCAACCTGGAACTCAGATCAGTCTTGGCAGCAGGAACCTTTACCTGCTAAGCCATCTCATGTGCCCTTTATTCAATTTTTTTTCCTTTCAGACCCCACTGGTGACAGCTATGGAAGTGGCACTGGGTTAAGTAAGAGCCGTGTACTGGGGAAGATCTGTTTGGGTGGTTTATAGAGTGATACTGTTGACAGATATGTTGGCAGCATCCGGCCTTCAGACCTGTCACAATGCCTCCCAGTAAAAGGGGTACGATTACATATGAACAAATCCTGTCACTGCGGCGGCAAAGCCACTGAATTTACAGATACACACATCTCCTGTCAAACACAGAGAGGTACAACTAACAATGACAGACCAGAGATAACTCAGATGAAAGACATTCAAAGTCCCAGTCATTAAAAATGGCTCAGAACAGGTATGACACACAGGGAAAATACGAAACTTCAGATAAACAAGTGCTATGGTAACGGATGCACTGTAGCAGAAGAAACCTCACCGGAGGAGAAAGTGTTGCCCCCCGGGAGTCTGCAAGGGCAGGTAGAATGGACTTACTGCAGAAAGACAAAGCATCCCAGGCAGAGGACAGCAAGTGGAAAGATTAGGCTAAGAAGCCAGGCTAGCCAGGTCGTGGTGGCACATGCCTTTAATCCCAGCACTCAGGAGGCAGATGGATCTCTGTGAGTTCAAGGCCAGCCGGGGCTACAAAGCAAGTTCCAGGACATGCTCCAAAACTACAGAGAAACCCTGTCTCGAAAAAACAAAACAAAACCACAAGGTCTCACTCTGTAGCCTCTGCTGGCCTGCACCACCTGATCTTACATTTAGAACAACAATCTTGCCTCTGCCTCCCATGTGTTTGGATTATAGACAAACAACCTGTTTATGCAGTGGGGATAGAACTCAGGGCTCCTGCATGCCAGGCAAGCACTCTACCAACTGAGCCACATCTCCAGCCTCAACTTTCTTTTTTTGTTTTCTGTTTTTGAGACAGGGTAGACCTGTTGTAGACCAGGCCTGCCACTGCCTCCTGAGAGCTGGGATTAAAGGCATGCATAACCACACCTGGTCCTAACTTTCTTTTAAAGAATGTACTTGGAGAACTGGAGAGATGGCTCAGCCGTTAAAGGCTAGGCTCACAATTAAAAATAAGAATGTACTTTGCCAGTGGTGGTGGTGCATACCTGTAATTCCCAGCACTCAGGAGGCAGAAGCAGATCTGAGAGTTAGAGGCCAGCCTGGTCTACAGAGTGAGTTCCAGGACAGCCAGGGCTGTTATACTGAGAAACCCTTGTGGAGGAGAGGGGGACCAGAGCAAGGTGGTAGAGTCATAATCCCAACTCCAAAAAAGGCTGAGGCAGGAGGATCTCAAGTTCAAGCTGGGCTACACAATGAGACTGTCTCGAAAAACCAAACTCCCAATGGTGAGTAGTGGCCTGGGATTAGACATCACTTTCACTGTCTTGCTCCTCAGCAGCCTGGAAGGATTAGTCTCTTAAGAGTAGACAGGCAATCAAGCAGGACAAGACACTGGCTTTGCAACACAAAATCTCCCAAACCAGCAATAGTGTGGTGCAGTCGTCAATGTCTTTAATCTTAGCACCAGCCAGCCTGATCTACACACCACGTTCCAGGACATACAGGGATACATGTGAGAAGTTCATATTAAAAGCAGGCAGTAGGGATGCCTGCTGGAGGCAAAGGAAAATTAATTTCAAGGACAGTTTGAGCTACACAGTCAGAAACCCAAAGACAAGGCGGCTAGAAAGATGGCTCAGTGGCTAATCCTCAGAGCCCACATGACAACCCAACTCCAAGCTGTTCTCAGACCTTCACTCACCCACAGCCACCCATCCACCCACACCAAGGGGAATCCAAGTACTTAGTACCATTGTTCTTACTCTGATACCAAAAGTCCTGGAGGCAGGGTGTGGTGGCACAAGTCTTTACTCCTTGGAGACAGAGGCAGGAAGACGGATCTCTAGGTAGTGATCCATCTTCCTGGTCTAGGTAGTAAGACCCTGCCCCCCCCCCAAAAAAAAAGGTGGGGAGAGTGAAGATGTCGTGGTATGAACCCCAGGACCTCACAGATAGGATACCAGCTGGGGAAGTTAAGAGGCAGAAGGAGAAGTTCAAGGTCGTCCTTGGCCAGAGTCAGAGACCAACATTAGCTATATGAAACTCTGTCCAAAACAAAACCCTAAAAATAATTTCTCTTAAAAAAAATACATGAGCCAGGCAGTGGTGTGGCAGGCCTGTAATCTCAGCACTTGGGAGGCAGAGGCAGGTGGATCTGTTAGTTTGAGGCCAGCCTGGTCTACAGAATGAGTTCCAGGACAGCCAGGGCTATGTAGAAAAACCTTGTCTCAAAAAAAGATATTCCAGTTAGTAATCAGGGAAATGCAAATCAAACCACAAAAAGCACACAAATGTAAAAAAATGTGAAGAAATTGGAATCTTCCTACACTGCTTGTAAAACACTGAGAAAAAAAATTTTATCCTCAAAATGTTAAAGACAATTGCCTCATGACACAATTCCCCTCTGAGATACAGTGAACAAGTGCACACACAATTTATTACAAAAAGAAACAATCTACACATCCATCTACTGAAAAAATGGTGTGGGCCATGGGGGCAAATGTCTTTGATCCCAGCACTCAAAAGGCAGAGGCAGAGACTACATAATCAGACCTTGTCTCCAAAAACAAACAAAAACAGAAAGAAGCTGGGTGTGGTAGTGCACGCAGGCCTTTAATCCCAGCACTCAGGAGGCAGAGGCAAGAGGGTTTCTATGAGTTCCAAGGTCAGCCTGGTCTACAAAACAAGTTCCAGGACAGAACTGTTACACAGAGAAACCCTGCCTCCAATTCTACCGCCAAGTCAAAAACCACCCACCCCAAAAAAAGGAAAGAGAGAAAAAGGATCGGGAGACAGAGCCAGGTGGATCTTTGTGAGTTTGAGGCCAGCCTGGTCTACAGAGTGAGTTCCAGGAAAGGCCCAAAGCTACACAGAGAAATCCTGTCTCTAAAAATCAAAAAAAAAAAAAAAAAAAAAAAAAGGAAATAAAATGGCCAATGTGAACCTGAAAAGACCCTCAACTCATTAACTAAGTAAATGCAAACCAAACCTGGAAAGGGGGTTGGGGGGATGCCTTTTCAGTGCAGTGTTTGCCTATCATCTGGAGGGTTCAGAGCAGGAAGCAATAAACAGACACTATACACTCCATCACTTCACACCCACAATTACCAGCTGGGAGTGTAGTTCATGTAACTCAGTGTTTGCACAAGGTTCTGGGTAAGAGCTGCAGCACCAACAGAATGGCACATGGCTACAGTCCCATCATTCCCTTGATTTCATAGTCACAGTACTTACTAGCAAAACTGTATGTCCCAGGCAAGCATGTACAGAGTGACACACCCCTAACACACACAGAGACCAGTATGGACAACCTAGTGAGACTGTCTTAAAACTACTACCAGAGAGATGGCTCAAGAGCTAAGGGTCGGGTTCTCAGCACCCATAGAGCAGTTGAAAACCCTTTTTAGAGCCAGGCGTAATGGCACACCCCTTTTATCCCGTAACTCAGGAGTCAGAGGCAGGCAGATTTGTGAGTTTGAGATTAGCCTGGTCTACAGTGAGTTCCAGGACAGCCTGGGCTACACAGAGAAACCCTTTCTCCCAAAAAATAAATAAATAAATAAATAATAATCTCAAAACCTTTTTAAGTCTATCCCAGGGGATCAGACATCCCCACCTGCCCTCCATGCAGACTGGTGGTATGTACAAACACACCCACAAACCTCAATCATGCAAAACAAACGTCTCCAGCCCTACAAAAAGAAATAGAAAAGAAATACCCTAGATACAATACACTCTACTAATTTCCTACAACTTTCAAAATGGATTATTGGATTATTTATGTGTTCAAGTTTAAGTGTGCGTATGTGTAGTGATAAGCAGATGTCCATAATATTGAGAAGGCTTTGCATACCCTGAAGCTGGAGTTACAGGTGGTTGTAAACTACCTGATGTGGGTGTTGGAACAAATAATGCTATGGTCCTTTGAAGGAGCCTGAACCCCAATAAGCCATCCCTCCACTTCCACGCTGGCTTCTTATTTTATCCCCAAGGCCGGGGAATTGAACCAAGTATACAAAACAACCACTCTACCCCCAAGCTAAACCTCCAGCACTGTATTTACTCCAAATGAGTAAAGCTGTTTAAATTCCGTAATACACAGGTTGATGTCATTCCAGAACTGAGAGGATCCAAGATGTCCTTATGAGTAGATACCTGAGATCAGAACGATGCACCTACTTACGAAAACTTCCTAACTTGCATTATCTCAATTGAGGCAACTCCGGGACCATGAACCAAGGCTTGTGCATCTTCCACATCTCCCTAAGCAATGGAGCTACAAAGCAAGCCTAACTCAAGCCTTAATCAATTCGATTCAACACACCGGACCGGATGACAAGGTGGGAAAGAGAGAAAGAACCACTTTACACCTAAGGATTGAACGTAAACGAAGGGGGTCGAGAAAAGGTAACGTTCAAGAGCCAAGCAAAAAGAAACAGAACTTGCACAGGTCAAGTGTTACTCTGTTAAAGTGGTGTGAAGTTCGGGTGACCAAAAGAAACAGGTACCAGATCAAAGAGAGAGCCGGCCAATGAGAGTGGGGGGCCGATGACATAGGCTGACCAAAGGTTTTTCTAAAGCTGCTCTCTGAAAATGATACTCAGGTGATCAGGCCTTCTCAGCGTGCATTAACGGAAGATATAACGTAACGAAGTTCGCTGCCTCTAAGTTCCTCTTTGACAAATGAAAAAAGGCACAGCTCTGGCCAAGACCGACCAACCCTCCAGCGTTCACTAAGCCCTATCTCCAACCATCTCCACCGCCATCTTCTGGAGGAGAGCCCAGCAGCCGCATCACTCCGGGGGCTGCGTAGCTCGAGTGGTGCACACCCGGGCGAGGCACCTGCACCGCGCACCTCCGTGGTCCGTCACTCACGCCGCACCGGCCACGTGAGAGCCTCACCTGCACACGCCTCGGATACACGGCTCCAGCCAGATTCGGTAGGCGGTCTCGATGTGCTCCTGCGACACCTCCTCGGGCCTCACCGTCTCCGCCCAGCGCCAGGCCGCCTTCTCCAGCTGCAGCCGAGGAGCCATGGCCGTGACCGAAAAGGCGCTGGACGAGCCGGGCGACTGCCGGCGCCGCCTCCGCCTCCGCCCGAACGGGTTCCGGCACCTGCCAGCCGAAAGAAACAAGCGCTCCCCTTAGCCAGAGGACCAGTCAATCACCTGCGCGCGCCACAGCCACCGCGCCCGCCCGCACCCAGCCTGCGCGACCAGCCGCAAAGCGCCGCCGCCACTACCCGACAGCTCCCGCGCCTGCGGACGTTGGAGGTGTAGCCCCGCCACAGCCTGCGCATGCGTGCTCCCAGCACTCCCTGCGCCGAAAGCACCTATAAATATGACGGGCGGAAGAAAGCCAAGTAGCTGCCCAAAGGGAGCTTGCCACGTCTTTTCCGCCGTGGCGCAGGCAACCACGCTCCAGCCCGTCTGCTACTCTGACCAACGGGCGCCTGTCCTTGCTCTCCGTACTTCCCCTGTCACTGTGATAAAAGTCACGCGGAAGAGTACTCAACGCACACCATGGAGCCGCCGGGATTGCGGGGTGGGACCTGTTAACAGTAGAAACCGGGCCAGCCAGAGACTCCAGAGTCGGCTCCCTGGAGGATGATTTAACTTGAGCCTGGGCGGATTCCGACTCCTTCCCCCGAGCCCTCTGACGTCACGGGGCGTTATGTGCTTTTGCCGGTGCTGGAACGGAACTACATATCCCAGCTTGCACTGCGTAATGCCACTCACACGCAGTGCGGGGCATGCTGGGATTTGTAGTCTTAGAAGTGGGACGCTCCGTCTTTGAGTTGCAGAGTGTGTTGAGGCACACGCGCAGGTCCGGGGCGGGTTCTTTCCTTAAAGCTGTCTCCTGACTTCTATGTCTATACTTTGACCTCTTAATTGTTTACAGAGGGTACACCCTAGCTCCCGGGTGTGAAACAATTTCCTTTTTGCAACTCCGTCCTTTTGTAAGGCTAAAACCTTACAGTGTTTTGTAACTGAACAGAGCACTTACTGCTATAGAGAGGACATTCCAGGACAGTGCAAAAGCCCTGTGGGGATCCAAGCACTAAATTCCTCCCTAATCTGCTCTGTCACCACCCTGACCCCAGTAACCTTTAACTGAAGTCATTAGCTAATTTACTGAAGGAAGGCAAGATTTGGTCCCTGTGGTTGAAGTTGAATTTGGGATTGAAAATAAAAAACAAAAATCTCAAGCTGGGCGGTGGTGGCAGCGCACGCCTTTAATCCCAGCACTTGGGAGGCAGAGGCAGGAGGATCTCAGTGAGTTCGAGGCCAGCCTAGCCTACAGAGTGAGATCCAGGACAGGCTCCAAAGCTACAAAGAGAAACCCTGTCTCGAAACGCACCCCCCCCCAAAAAAAAAAAGAAAAAAAGATCTCCTTTCCAAGGTGTGGTGAGTCAGATCTGCAATAACACTTGTGAATGGAGCTTCTAGGTAAGCGTATATATAAAGCAAATGACTTTGTCTATACACACACACACACACACACACACAAACACACCTACTTTCTCGGCCTTAGAGATAGGGAGTTGCAGAAATTTGAAGGAAGATTTTCCTGAATAACTCCTACATGCATTAATTAAAAGTCACGAAGCTGGGCAGTGGTGGCACACGGCTGTAATCCCAGCACTTGGGAGGCAGAAGCCGGTGGATCTCTGTGAATTCGAGGCCAGCCTCGTCTAGAGGTAGTCCAGGACAGGCTCCAAAGCTACAGAGAAACCCTGTCTTGAAAAAACAAAACAAAAAAAAGTAACACAAGCCGAGCAGCGGTGGTGCACGCCTTTAATCCCAGCACTCGGGAGGCAGAGCCAGGTGAATCTCTGTGAGTTCAAGGCTAGCCTGGTCTACAGAGCAAGATCCAGGATAGGCACCAAAACTACACAGAGAAACTCTGTCTTAAAAAACAAACAAAAAAGTTGAACACGAGCCAGGCCTCTAATCCCAGCATTTAGGAGGCAAAGATAGGGGGATCTCCTGGAATTTGAGGCCAGCGTAGTCTACAGAGGGGAGGAAGTTCCAGGACAACTAGGGCTACTCAAAGAAACCCTGTCTCGAATAAACAAAAGCAAGCAAACAAAAGGTTGAAGACAGTTGTGGGGAATGGGAGTGCTGCCTGCCTTTAATCCCAGCACTCTGGGAGGCAGTTGCAGGTAGATCTTTCAGAATATAATGAGTTTGAGGACAGCCAGAGTTACATAGTGAGACGCTCTCAAACTCAAGGGCTGAAGAGATATATACTCAGTGGTTAAGAGCACACTAGTTGCTCCTGAGAGGACCCCAGCGTCTACATGATAGTTTATAATTGTCTGTAACTCTAGTGCCAGGGGTTTGACACACACAGTCAAAACACCAATGCACATAAAACAAATATTTCTTATTAAAAAAACAAAGTAGGCTAGGCGGTGGTGGCGCATGCCTTTAATCCCAGCACTTGGGAGGCAAAGCCAAGGCGGATCTGTGAGGTCGAGGCCAGCCTGGGCTATCTACAAAGTGAGATCCAGGCAAAGGCACAAAGCTACACAGACAAACCCTGTCTCAAACAAAACAACAACAACAACAACAACAAAAAAAAAAAGTAGAATGGAGTTGTTCAACTTTTTAAGTTAGAAAAAGGCATCTTTGCTGACTGGTAACACACCCAAAAGAAAATTCTCAGGGAGAGGTGAGTATAGAGGTCAATCTCTGCCTTAGAGATTGTGAAAGTTATAGCTAGTGATTGATAGAGTGAAGATTTGCATCATCTTCAGTCTGAGTCAAGGTTAAATTAGATACGGAATTCTCATGGGACTTGCTGCAAAGACTTGCTGCAGGTGGGCATAGTCCTATTATTCTAGCACATAGGAGTCAGAGGCAAGAGGATCAGGAGATCGAGGTCATGCCTGGTTGGTTAAACAGGAAATCTAAGGCAATGTGAGATTTCATTCATGGAGAAAATGAATGAAAAATGCACTGAGCACGTGACATACCAAGCTACGGTGAAGGAGAAGGTTTAATGTAGATGAGGGAGAGCAGAGGCATCTGGAAGAGTCTGAAGTGAGCATGGCCACCAGACTAAACTAGGCCATGTGGGAAGAAAGGAGAGGGGAGAGGAGACTAGCAAGAAGCCAAGAGGCCAGGAGAACAAGAACCAAGAGACCTGTGTGGTAGCCAAAATGGCTGGGTTATATCGGAATCAGAGAAGCTGGGGGAGGGGCAGACGAGCAGCTGCATTGAGAGTTGAGGGTAAGGGGCAAGCAAGGCATGCCAACCAGGAGGAGTCTGTAAAACAGGTAAGCACTGAGACAGACTGGCAACCAGAGTCAGCTTTGAGCTATGTTAAATAGGCACTTTAGGGAGCCTTTGGCTCCAGGTTTGAAAGCTAACTGCAAGGCTTAGAGAGATGGGCTCAGGTTAAGAGCCCCTTGCAGAGGACCAGAGTCTGACTCCCATCGCCTACATCAGCTAGTTCACCACTGCTCCCCCAATTCCAGGGGGTCAGATGCCCTCCTCGGGCCTCTGCAGACAATGCACCCGTGTACACCTACAGACAAGCAGGTACACATATACAAATTAAAAATAAATAAATCAATGGGGCAGGAGAGGTGGCTCAGTGGTTAAGAGAGCATACTGCTCTTCCAGGGGACCCCTGTTCAATTCCCAGCACCCACAAAAGGCAGCTCAGAAACACCTGAAACTTCAGTTCCAAGGAATCCAACACCTCCAGACTCTATAGTCACACGTACACACACCCACAAACAGAATAAAATAAAAAATATTTTCTTTTTAAAAAGAGGAGGAAGGGGCTGGAGAGATGGCTCAGTGGTTAAAAGCACACGCTGTCTTCCAGAGGATCTGAGTTCAATTCCCGGCACCCACATGACAGCTAACTATCTGTAACTCCAAGATCTGACACACCAAGTGACTTACAACTACCTGTAATCAGCTCCAGGGGTTACCTCACACCTCTGACCTCTGTGAGCACTTGCGTTCATATGCACATACCTCACAGACACATAATAAAAGTAATAAAAATAAAAATATTTAAAACCAGAAAACCCCAAAGGCCAGAGAATGGCTCAGTGGTTAAGAGCACTAAGTGCTCTTCCAGAGGACCTGGGTTCAATTCCCAGCACCCACATGACAGCTAACTGTAACTCCAAGATCTGACACACCAATGCAAATAAAATAAAAATAATTATAAAAAGAAAAAAAAAACAAAAACAAAAAATAGGGCATGGTGGCATATGCCTTTATTCCAGGCACCGACTGTTACACAGAGAAACTCTGTCGTGAAAAAAAAAAGGGGGGGGGGGAGGAGGGGCTGGAGAGATGATTCAGAATTAAGAGTACTTGCTGTTGGGAATATCAGTGCATACCTTTAATTCCAGCACTTGGGAAACTGAAGCAGGCAGATCTTTGTGAGTTCAAGGCCAGCCTAATCTCCACAGTATAATAATCTACTCCAAAATGATAAAGACAACCCCACTGATAAAGCCAATTAAAAAGAATGTCCTTGGGCCTGGCGGTGGTGGCGCACGCCTTTAATCCCAGCACTCGGGAGGCAGAGCCAGGTGATCTCTGTGAGTTCAAGGCCAGCCTGGGCTACCAAGTGAGCTCCAGAAAAGGCGCAAAGCTACGCAAAAAACCCTGTCTCGAAAAACCAAAAAAAAAAAAAATGTCCTTTATTAGCTAGCAACCAAAGTGCACACTTCTGCCTCAGAGACTCTTGATGCCTAAACTTGTAGATACAGCCATTTTAAAGGCAAAAAAAATCACAAATACCATAATTCACATCAAAATTAGATGAGTAAGGGCTGGAAAGATGGCTCAGGTTAAGAGCACTGATTGCTCTTCCAAAGGTCCTAGGTTCAATTCCCAGCAACCACATGGTGGCTCACAACTATCTGTAATGAGATCTGGCGCCCTCTTCTGGCCTGCAGAGATATGTGCGGGTAGAACACTATACATAATAATAAATAAACCTTTAAAAAAAATTAGATGAGTAAACTTGAAACACTCATTCCTGGCAGAGAATAGAAATTACTTCAGATATAACATGACAATTTTTTTTTGAGACAGGGTTTTTCTGTGTAGACCTGGCTAGCCTGGAATTCACTTGTAAACCAGGCTGGCCTCAAACTCAGAGATTCTCCTGCCTCTGCCTCCCAAGTGCTGGGATTAAAGGCATGTGCCTCCACCACCTTGGGAGAATTATTTTTAACTTATGCTCTCTTCCTTTATTTTGGTTAATTCATCTGGACTATGATCAAGGCCATGGAAATCTCCAGTGTGTTGCCAAGGCAGACATGATTATTGGTGGGGAGGGCTAAGAACTGCCTAAGCAAACACAAAATAAAGTCATGACAAAACGGTCACTTCAATAGTGAGTTCCAGTACATTCAGAGCTAGGACGACACTGTGTCAGGTTTTTTCTATAATTATTTTTATTTTGTGTTCACTGTGTCAGGTGTGAGGGCCCCTGGACAGCCATCTCTCCAGCCCAGGTTTTTTGTTGTTGTTGTTTTCAACACTTGAGGTTTACAGATGTCTGTAACTAACTGCAGACCCAGGAGATTCAGTACCCTCTCCTGGCCTTGGCGAGCACCAGGCATGCTCCCAGTGTTCTTACAAGTGTGCAGAGAAAACCCCCATATAGTAAACAGACAGGCTGG